TTCTCTTTTTCTCTAGCTTTCTTCTTACATTAGAGACACTCCACTGTCTGAGATAAACATGATCCCCTATCAAATTTTAGTTCCCCTCTTTTGTGTAGAAGAAATCATGATGAGAGTTTATTCTTTCAATAAAAAATCATAGACAGAAGAAGAATAACCACCTCTTGCATAAGAGGATGATTTGATAAAATATTGTGGTAATAGTACCTGAGAGGAGATAGTGTAATTGTTAGTAGAGGGATGAAATTTTGATGATGTTTGAGCAAAATTTCATCGATAATTGATGATCAAGAGGAAGTCTGATGTCGATTGATGGTTGGGTAGAGAGTTGAAGGAGATAATTGGAGAGTGTGCTACTAATAACACTAAAGCTAGATGTCGATGATGGCTGATATGAAGTAAAGGACATATAGAAGACATCAGATGAAGGGCTAATGATGGCAGTGGTCTAGTTGATTTTTATTTAGGGAATATGCATCCATTCTGATGTGTGCAAACATTAGATATCTCTGATTAAAGGGGTCGAAGCAATGTGCTATGTTAGTAGTATGGCGACACACTAACCGTGTCAATTGAGTGGAGGCTTGATAATGATCGAGTTATATCTTTCTATGATGTAAAATTAAAGGAATCTTCTTAACTACGAATATAGACAAGGTTGCCCTCCAATCCATATTTAATTCTAATTAAATTGATGCAATATTAGTTGATGTCATGATGCTGACATGAATGACCTCTTAATGTTGGTACAAAAATTGCCCTCCAGTCAAAAATCATGTTCCCATAGACTGCGCCAAACTATTGGGTCCTAAAATATTTATAGCCATAGAGAAGTATAATGTTTAATGTCTTAGCATTGTATGAAGATCCATCATACAAACGGATGAAAGAGAGAGTGTAATATTCATAAGAGACACCAAGATTTTTACATGAAAAACCTAGAAAGGGGAAAACCATGGGGCCTGCTCAATTTGAATGAATCAACTATTATTTATAGTCAATTATAATAAGGCCCTTCCCTAGGGGAAGGCCTTAACTTGATGTGATAAATATACATCATATAAAATGTATTTTAGGTTGGGACTTTAAAGAATCACTATTGATTAGTTTTTTTGGTCATTAGAACCATAGTCGAAGGGTGACGAAGGTCGGAAAGGCTATTTTCTGATGATAGTGGTCGAAGGGACCTAGTCGGCAAGAAAAGTGGCCAAAAAAGGCCATTGTCTAGCGATGGAGGTCAGATATACCACAATCTAGATATGAAGGTCAGAAGGATCATAAGTGGTTGGTAACGAAGGTTAAAAGTCTAGCAATGGGTAAACGATTGGTGTTAGACAGATGTTTAACGATGGTCTAAAGTCCAATGCCAGATAAAAGTTCAACGAAAATTTGGCCAAGGGTAGAAGTCCAATGACGGGCAGAATTCTTGCATCGGATAGAAATCTGACGATGGGAGGAAGTTCGACGTAGGGTAGAATTTTAACTAAAGTCTGGCGATGGGTGGATGTTCGATGTCAGGCAGAAGTCCGGTGATAAGCAAAAGTCTGTTGTCAGCTAGAAATTTATCGATGGGCTAAAGCCCAACTTCTAGTATAAGTCCAACGAAAGTCCAATGAATGGCCAAAGCCTGGTGAAAGTCCAGCATCAGATAAAAGTTCAATGATGGAGAAAAGTCTGGTGGCAAGTGGAAATTTAGCATTGAACAAAAGTTCGATGACGAACATAATTTTGGCATATGGTAGAAATTGGTGACGGGCGAAAGTCCCACATCGAGTAGAAATCTAGTGACCGGAGGAAGTCTGATATTGAGTATAAATGTGACGGAAGTTTGGCAATGGGTAGAAGTCTGATGATGGGAAGAAGTCTGGCGTTGGTCGGTGGCTAGGAGATGGTCAAGGAGGAACTTAGTGGCAAGAGAAAGACTTCTCTTCGTCTCCTCTCTTCTTTCCCTCCATGCTTGGGGACCCTTCTTCCTCCTTGCTTCTTGGACCCTTCTTTCATGAGAAAAGAGGGGTCTATTTATAGTTCTCTAAAAAGTGTCATGGCTAATCAATAGGAGTAAGATCAATGATAAATTGGGAGTGATTTAAATGGATGACTGATGTTGATTCCCTTGATCATTAATCATTTACTAGACATTTGATTATCTTAATGATATCAGAATTTGACGATCTTGGGCTCATTGGATTTGTCTTATCGAGCTGCTCGATAAGACTATAAGCATGTCATGTTTGAAAACTATTTGGTAATCCAAATTAGGGTTTGAATCTTCCATCGGACTAAATTTAATAAAGTATATAGGTGTCAAAAATCGGCCACTCCTTGTCGAGGACAACATATCATTGGTAATGTTGAGGCTACTATGCTACACATTTCACCGATGATGAGGTTTGTAAGTTCTTGTTTACAGAGGCTAAAACACATATAATCATCATCTATATGGAGGTTGAAGAAATAACAGAAACATATAATCCAAGCCCATCTAGTCAAGTGTATATATGAGTTCATACTATTGCTTCTGATGGTCATTTAGATGGTACATGTTAGCATCTTTGTGAACTTATCCATGCCTAAATTAAAATTTTTTAGCATAGGCTTATGTTGAAGCCCGCTGCATTGCGGGTGAGTGCAAGAGAGTACATAAGAATTATGCAAGCTCATTTTCATGGCCGGCTTAGTTTGTGTGAGTGACCAACTTTCTAACATCAAGATTCTCAATCACGACCTAGTGTTAGTCACCATCTAACTTGGGAGACACCTCATAATAATCAATTTTAATATAACTGCTCCAGGCCATACATGCAGTACACTTCACATCATAAAAATAAAATGGTATAAGATTGTTAGGAAGCTGAAGACGAAGTAAATACATATGAAACAATGGATAGTGGTACAAGTGATTCATCACATGATAACCTAGGATGAATGGCCCATGTTTCTTTGGTCAAATATAACAATACAGAGATTAATGGTTAAGGATTCAGTGTAGATCATGCAAGATGGAATTTTGATGGCTTAGAGGGGATGATCGCAAATAATGATTACACGAAGCTCTTCATATAATGCAACTTTGGGATGTGATAAACAATTTGATGCACTGGCCCTGAATGGAGTTAGCTCAATAGAAGCTATTATGGAAACATAATTGTATGAAGAGAAACTTTTTCTACAAAGGAAGATTTGCAGTGTGCAATTAATTGGTGGTCGATTGTTCAAATTGTCCAATATGTCAAAGTGACTTCCAACAAGAGCCAGCTTACATCTTATGTGCACAAAATGTCAATCCATACTGCCCATGCCTTTCGCGCTTACATGCATCGCGAAGTAATAAATTAGGTTGGATATGGAAAATATCTATATGTGGGTTGCAACACACCTACACCCACTCCATGATGGTTGTCGACCATCACAATTGTACCTCAAAGTTTATATGTATACCTATAATCCTTATAATTTTCCAATAACTCAACATTAAGCCGAATGAAATCATCACTTTAATAGAGTCATTGTTCAACATCAAGATTTCATACATAACGACTTGAGACACATGTAGAAAAATTATCAAAGCAACTATTAATAGCTATGAAGAATCTTCTCAGTCTCTATTCCATTTCATGGAGGCTATACGTTTGTCCCTACTGGGCACAACGTACAATATTCAGCTATAGGTGGTGCACGCTTCATGGGTCTATTCTGGGTATTTGGTCTATCCATCCATGGGTGGAAACACTATCAACTAGTACTTAGCTTGGATGGGACCTTTTTTCTTGGAAAGTATCGAGGGACCCTCCTTGTCGCTGTAGGAATAGATGAAAACGATAGACTTTTTCCCTTGGCATTTATAGTCATTGAATAAAAGAGTAATGATTCATAGATTTGTTTCCTATAGAACCTGCATGATTTGGTTCATCTAGTCATTGATCGTGATAACCTATGCATAATCTATGATAATTATCTAGGCCTTATAAGGGATATAAAAAAGTATTTCCCAATGCATTTCATAGACACTGCCTTTGATAATTATGTGAGAACTTTAAAAAATATGTGCATCATTTGGGAATTCTAGATAGTGAGGGCCTCAACAACAAGATGTACTTTACAGGAAACATAGAGGATATAATGTACTTCAATCGCATGATGAATAACATCAAAACTGTTAAGCAAGAAGCCTTGGATTGGTTGGTACAATATGATGTGTCTAAATGATCCTTACTATTCAACAAAGGCCATCGATATGGCATTATGACAACAAATTCATAATAATATTTTAATGGTATGCTCAGGAATGCTCGTGGGTTGCCGGGTTGATAATGTCTATATATTATAACCTCAAGTCGATATTCCTAAAATATTTAATAGAAGCTGCAAGATGTGTAGTGGAAGGTGAGTCAGACTTCATTCCATGACTGATGATTGTGCTACAATGAGTCAAACATGAAGCAAGTTAATGTCTTGAACTAATTATGATAAATAGAAAGGAATTTAAAGTTGTTGATATGTCATGCTGTGCTAAAAAAGTTGAGATACTAAGTTCAAATTCTTGCACATGCATGTGCAACAAACCATAATTATATCATGTACCTTGTGTACATGTCCTTAGTGTGGCTGGATAAAGGCGATGAGATCATAATGCTTTTATAAACTATACTGTTAACATCTGTAAGGCTATGTACTCCAAACTTTTTTATGTCATTCCTCCCAAGGACCTATGACCCACCTTCAATGAACAATATGGAATATTCCCTTTGATTGCTCCAGATTTTAGGACTCGTGTTGGTCGACAACAAATAAATAGATTTTATAATAAAATGAGTGAGCCCTCATCCAGCTCACATAAGGCTTTTGGTTTTTGCAAATAAGTCATTCACAATAGAATAACCTGTCCATATAATCCCTCATCCAGGTTTCGTATATAAACTATAGTTATTTAATTAAGTCCCAACTCATTTTTTGTGCTTACATTCAACCTACTTCTTACATTATTAAATTTTTAATAACAGATATTGCTGATAGATCGAGGCGTAGTCATTCCTGGTGGTGTACCTCCGATGATATTGGTGGAGAAAAAAGTTTAATTGTGTAAAGGAGCATATCATCACTAGGATTGTTGGATAGGGCCCACAATCCAGATTAGATATAAACTATACTTATTTATTCATAACTTCAACATTTTTTGGGTCATGACATACTTATCATAATATTATTTACCTTTTTTTTCAACAGGCCTCTCCCTTAGTTGCTTCAGAATATTTATGTATGGAACGAGAATGGACAGTTGAGTGCCCATGTATGATATATATTATGAGAAACTTTAGCCTTGATACCCTTCAACATTTATAGTTCATTCATCTGGAACAAAACTTGATTGCAAGATTGGCTGAGAGATGGTGCCCCTTGATGAACACCTTCCATATCACGATCAGGGAGATAATGATCACACTTCACGATGTGCTTGTGCTACTTGATCTTAGAATTGATGGGCATGCAGTGGTGGGGTTGAATGTAGTTGGTCAAGGACGTCGTTGGTCCAACTAGATAAATTATTGTTCTAAGCTTCTTGGTACAAATCCAAGAAGAGATATAGTGTGCCATGCACCTGAAGATGAGGATGACAGCACAACCTTTACAATGGGTACCACTTAGGTTGAGTTGTTGCTCCCATTACTTTGGCTCTATTGGACTTTGTATAAAGACTCATACGTTGACTTTGCACCCAATCCATTTATTTAGCATGACTGAGCTTACATCCTCTTTATGATTGGGTATTTTCTAATTCCAAACATGTTATGGTCTCTTATTTCATTACAGTGGTTGTCATTGCTTATGAAAGTGGACACGTTTGATAGGATTTCTATTGGTAGTGCTGTTCTAGCACATCTATATGGAGAACTCTATCATGCGACATGTTGTTGACCTCATTTTTGTATGAGGTCACTAGGATCAATCTAGTCACTAGATCTATCCAGACCATATAATCTAGATCTACCCAGATCCTAGGATCTATCCAGACCATAGGATCTATTTGGACCCTAGATCAACTAGACCCTAGGACCAATCCAGATCTTAGATTAGTCTAGATTCAAGTTAAACTGAAACTCAAATCAATTCAAACTTTAAATATATCTAGACTTTGAACCTATCAAGATCTCAACTCCAGTTTAAACCTTGATCCTACCTCTAATCTAGCTTCAATCCTATCCAATCATTTATGATCATTCAAATGATTTTCAATGATTTGGATAATTTAAATTTAAGCATTTAAATCCAGACCAAAGTCCAAGGCTAAAGGTCCCTGTCCTGAAAGCCTTTTCTAGTGAATTTTCAAACACTTTAAACCCAAATCAAATGACCCTCAATTCATGATATATCAATTAAATACTAATTATGCATGTCTATTAGGTCTATTCTCAAAATTTGAGCTTAATTTGAGGTCTCTAACCGTAGAGACTAGATTAAAATCCAAAGGCTAAAAAACCTTCAAATATTTATGGCCTATGCTACTAAACTTGTCTCCTAGTAGAATTTGACCTTGGAGACTTCTCCAAAGCCTCTAACCACATCCAAACCCTTGATCATAATATGTTGAGTAGTAAACTATATTTTGATGGACCTACTTTGACCCTCAATTGACCAGAGGTCAGCATGGCTAAAATGTACCTTAAGGGAAGTTTTGAAGTTTTTTCTAGACTTCAACAAAGCCTTTCAAATTAAATCTCAAAACCTCTTCCAATGCATCTTAATCATCATTAGGAGTACATTGGACTCAAGCCCTGACCCTGGTCAAACTTGGTTGACCAAGTTAACCAATTTTGACCAAAATACCCCTTAAGGGTTTGAATACTCTTTTCAAACCAAATGGTCTCCTCTTTATATGATACCACTTCTAGCATATTTCAAACATGAAACCAAACTTAGGGCTTGGGTCAACTTATTTAACCAAATAGGCCTTATATAGTCCAAATTGTTAATTTGACTGAAATGATCTCCCTAGACCATGAGACCCCCTCCAAAAGTCTTAGAATATCATTTCAAATCTATTGAACCTAATCCTAGACCCCAGGTCAACCTGGTTAACCCTGATAGACCTTTAAAAGTCTAAATGGTCATTTAGACCATTATGACTCTTGAAACTGCCTCCACCATACTCCATAATCCAATCAAACCTGTTGAGCCTAAACCCTGGCCATGAGTCAACCTGGTTAACTAGATCAACCCTTAAGCTTCCCTACTTTGAATCAAGCTTCAAATGTTTATAGAGTGTAATTTTAGTGTTAATAGACCTAGTGAGGGATTATTACTTTGGGTGATCAAGTCATTAATAAGAGTACACATTTTAGATATATTGGATCTATTTCTCAGAGTGATGGTGAAATAGATGGGGATATTATCAGCAGAATTCAAGTTGGATGGTTGAAGTGGAATAATGCATCAGACTTATTGTGTGATAGAAAAGTCATCCTCAAACTTAAGGAAAAATTATATAAGATGGTTGTGAGACCTACATTGCTTTATGGTGCTGAATGTTGGCCATTAAAAGAGAAACATAATACTAAGTTAAGTGTTGTAGAGATAAGGATGCTCAGGTAGATAAGTGGCTTTACCCTTAGAGATATGATACAAAATGAGCTTATATATGAAAAGGTTGGTGTAGCTCTAATAGAAGATAATATTAGAGAGAGTCACCTTAGATGGTTTGGTCACATAAATCTACAGCCTTTTGATGATCCGATTAGGAAAGTAGAGGTATTAGATTTGACTTATGTTAAGAAAAGTAGAGGTAGAACTAAAAAGACATGGTTAGAAAATATTAGAAATGATATTTCATTATTAGAATTAAATGAGAATTTGACTTTTAATAGGACATAATGAAAAGAAGGGATTCATATAGCTGACCCTATGTAGTGGGACAAAGGCTTGTTGTTATTGTTGATAAACTATTTGGGATGATTTAATCATAACTGCTTAAGTTAACACTGTAAGTTATTTGAGTCTAGATTTTTACTTTGATTTTCAATATAATTTGATGTAATTTTGAGTTGTAAAAGTACTTTAAGATGGGATATTAAGCATTCAATTTGGAATCCAAAGAGGAAGGGACATCTCTTAGGGGAGAGTTCCTCTCCATTTGGAGATCCAAATTATGATGAATTTTAAATATTGAAAGAGAAAAGATAACACCCCTTTAGAGGGTGAGTTTCTTTTTATTTGGATGTCTGGACATGGTGGATCCAAGGAGCCCGTAGAAGGATGAAGAAGTGAACAACGAGAAGAATCATATTCTCAAAGTCACTTATGCCTTAGGACTAAAAATTTGGGCTTATTATTAGGGGTACCCGGCCACTTTACTTTCAATAAAATTCTAGATTGTAATATTAACTGGCACTTACCACATGGACATTGATAAATTTAATTAATTTTATTTACATTGATTATGCAGTAGAAATGACATATTTTTCTAGCTTTGTTTCTTGCATGTCATATCTTATTTTAGCCTAAAATGATTGGAAGCTCATGAGAGTACAAACAAAATTTTTTTTACTTTAATTAAATTAAAATTTTTAAGTCAACATACAAACTCTAATGAATTAAGAAGTAAGCTTTGGTTCGTCAAGAGTTTACATACATTCATTTTGACTCTTCTCTTTCTTATTAGATGCCTCCCTACTTGTGGGTTTTGACAGGCCACCTAATCTATTAGGGTGTAGTCCTATCAAGTGGTTGTTGCATAATCTCTAGAATAAAATTATTTTTAAGCCTGATTTTAAAATAATTTTATTCTGATTTAAGCATTTATCGAGTCAACTAGCATGTATTGCATTAGAAATAAATTTAAATGAGCCTAAAATTTAACTAAATTTTACTTTAAGCTTCATATTACCTAAAATCAGTTAAGGGGCCAATTAGGATCTGCTCAAGATATCGGCCTTGATTCCTTAAACTTAACTGAATAACATCTCTACCACTCTTACATAAAAGACCTTATACATGATTTTGAAGCATCTTGATGGTTAGCTAGCTCCCGAATCCATATTGGGGTAAGTCTAGATTTACATTACATTAGGTAGGTTCAAATTATTGATTTTTAGTATCTAATTTAGGTTTAGGTTTTGAGGAAGGTTCAAACTATAAGACCTCAAACTTTGAAAATTTTATCCCAACCTTATAATAAAATTAGCAATTCAAATTAAATATCTTTTAATCTAAATTTAAGCATAACACTTAGGATAGGCTCGAGTGCTTCTAAAATGTTTTAGAATCCCAAAGAATCTCTTACCTTTTCTCCTTTAACCTCCAAAAATAAGTTTTCCACTTGATTTGGTCTCTATTAAAAATTCCAATCCTCACCTCCCTTGATATCAATATTCTAGAATTCTAAATAAAATTTCTACCCTTATTTTAATTGAGAGTATTTATAAAAAATTTTGATTTCTTATGATATAATTAACTATAAGGGTATGTGCTCGTAGGAGATATAGTAACCCAGATCAATTTTCTAAATAAATTTTTTAAAACTTCATTTAATTATCTTTGGAAAAATCAAATTTAACTATCATTATCATCATATTTAAAATGATCAATACTAAACGATATCCTCTTTTCTCGGGAAGATATATTATTCTATTAACATAACTTTGATTATGAAATTAATGATCCTTTATATAAATTATTATAGTCAAACACTCGATAAAAAATCATTTTGATCCTTTGGGATAATCTGTTATTCTTCCCTAAGTTTAACTATGATAATCAGGATGAATTTATAGTTTTGTAATCTTAACTCATTAGGGAATGATATATTTACCTCCTGAGATAATATATCATTCATAATGACGTGTTCAATTTTAGTACTAAAATTCTAAAAATTCAATTTTCTTGAAGAAAACTAATCTTTTTAAAACCCAATAACTTTTTCATCAAGCATATACCTAATACGCACATACATTTTTGGATGTGTTACTCTCTACTCTTAAATGATAGATGAGTATAGACCCATACACAGAAGAAGTTCTGGTTGCTTTGCCCCAACAAGGTCATAATTGGGGGGGGGAGAGAGAGAGAGAGAGAGATTTAGAGAGCATTAGTTATACTAATTAGCTAAAAGCGCACTGAGTCGTATCTCCCCGACCGTGAAATAAGATAGTTTGTGGGGAGTATAGTTATTGATATAGAACTAATGGAACAAAGTTTCAAGAGGAATGATGGATGAGGAAGAGCATATTTTGACTAGATAATACAATATTGGGCATACCTTTAGTTATGGGAGGAGAGGAGAGCATATGTGGTTTGAATTACTCCACCATAAGGCACTGCTAATCAGGAGTTAGGAACGTACTTACAGTGGTATAGATCTTATGCTATCTTTTATAATCACAAACAGATCCACCAGAGACTTTTTCTTGAGATTGTCTGGCGAAAGATTAGTTATACAATTGATTATTTACATTATGTATAGTTTATGAATCAATTATTTTTGAATTAATTGTTAAAATTATATCTGATGAATTTCTCATATCATCTAGGCCAACTACTACATATGGTTAACTGTCATTCTTGAGCCATTAGCTGTGGGGCATGGACAAAATGCTAGTTCATTGCAATTGTCTATTGACAAGGTCACAAAACTTTCCACCAGAGTTCAACGAATATTTTATATAGACTATACCACTTTTAATACCACCATAGAGGAGAGGACCCAATCTAGGGAGCATGCAATAAGTTCCTATAGAGTTCAGGGGGCCAGACGATCAACCTCTGATGCTCCATCCAGATCGACAGGCAGCCGACACCACCAAACAACCTAGACTTTCTATGTACACACCATTCACCAGTTATGATAGGACTAGCACAGGACCTTCCACATGACATTGGAGCTTATTCGATGCACAAGAAAGTGATGCAGCTGATGTGTACTATGGCACACTATCTCAGAAACCCACTACATAGTCCTTAACTCCCATGGCTATACTTGAGTGGATATCATCTGTTGGGTTGCCATTTTCTCCCTCATAGTTAATGGGAGGAAAACCATCATAGTAATCTACATAGCGATCAAATCAACATATGTATGCTCGTGAGCAAGAGGAGCAGGTGATTGAGGAACCTCAACTTTAACAAAAAAGATGGAAGGCCCTAGTTATATATACTCTAGGGAGTGGGGATCTTCCACGTCATTGATAGATGTTCCATTCTTCTTTATTTTCCTGATCATATTTTTGTAAATATTTAAAGGACTGATATTGTTGTTTGCATTGAAGTTGGTATTGAAAATATTATACTCTCACTTAAATTTGGATGTGTGAAATTGCTATATGTACATTGAAATAATCTCTAGTGAAATAAATACGACTTTACTAATAATGACAAACTGCGTTAATGCTCATAAAAGATTATAATAATATAACATTCACTTTAATAAGCAAGGTAAATAACACACACCAAAATCAAAAGTGCATATTACTACATAGGTTTCCTATCTCCTATGCAACATATAAAGACATACTTGGAGTTCGGTTTGAATTGGGCAGCACTTGAAATTACACTCAAATTCATTTTGAAGGTCTTTATAGTCCTCATCATTAAAAAACTTTCTTGGCTTACCTTCACGCAATAGCTCCATCTAATTATTATAAAATTCCAAAATGAATTTGTCCAAGCTAGGATGCCAACTTTCATATAATATCACATGCTCATTGTCAAGGTTTCTCCAATCAACATCTGGTGAATATCCACCTTCATGATCACGTTGCATCTCATGATATCGTGTATGTAAGAAATGAGAACCGATGAGATGATCATTTTCTTCTTGGAACCTAATCTAAATAGTCTTCCAACAAGTCTTGTATATTTTTACCCTCATTACTGCCTCTTGCATAACTCGAAGGGCATCATCCTAATCTTCGAACCACTAATATAGGAGCAAAAATGAAATGTCTCATTCGCATTCGCCTTTTACTCCAATGGGCTATCACGGATTCATGCTATATATTCATGCATTCGTCTGCTTGCAAAATTGAACCTTTGTTTATTGGGGATGCCATGAAGGGTTTCCATACATAGCCAAAACATCTCTAAGGCATATTCTAAATCTCCACATCTCAACTTCAAATGAACATACACACCTTAAATAGCAGAGGTAAGCCTCGCACCTTTCCAAATAGATCAAAATTATAATAAAGCTTTTCATTATATAATAGGCTTCTATTATATTGTCATTATGGCCCTACTAATCAATATGATGAATAAAATTTTTCTTTTTTCATCTCACATTAATGTGATCTAATGTCATGCCTATATAAATAAAATATATGTTGGTCATATTAATTGACCATTAGTGATTGATTTATTTTTTCAATTTGTTGGATGCTCAACCTTGATTGGAAATCATTTTCAACTTCTTATTTCCTCCTCAATAATGAGTAAGATTCATAAAATTCCTATGAAGAAGTTAAATGTGGATGGTAACATTAGATTGAAGGAATGTTTGTCGCATCCCACTTATGATATTCTAGAGAAGAAGGTGAGATCGAATGAATTTTTTTGATGCTGTATGCATTCCTAGTCAGTGTATAAAGATTGTATTTTATGGTATGCGCTTGATGAAGCTATGAAAATCCCCTTTCCCTTACATAGGGATGGAGCAGATTTAAGTGATTTGAGTTGGAGATTTCTACAACAAAAGTTCATGGCACATGATGGCTATGTAGCTTCTATGAATATTCTTAAGGCTAGAATTTGTAAAATAGGATGCAATGAAGATGGTTTTATTCCGGTGATTGTTGAAAGACCAATTGCTAATGTTGACCACTATATTCTTTATCATAATTGATATGGTGCACACAATGCATTTTTGTTTGAATCATTTGACGGCCACATTGTTGTAGCTGGTAAAAAGAGGAAAAAATTTCTGAATGCAATAATAGAGTGGCAATACAACCATAAGGTGTTTGAGGATGAGTTCAAATGTTGTCCAACTCAAACCCAACTCCAAGCACGCCTGTGCATGGTAATCGACAATATGAAAAGGCCTTATTTTTGTGTTATTGGTTTCGTATAATTCGCCTTCTGGTTGATATTTTATTCAGTGAAGTATTTTAAAAATAGCTGTTTAATCTCTTAATTATTATAATAAAGCCTGTCACGTTCTAAAATCATATAATTTCTTTTGGATTTTTTTTTTTCAATTCTTTTTAAAATCTAAAGAAAACTTATTTAGAAAGCAACAAATATTAAAATATATATATATATATATACTAACAACCTCAAATATCATATACCTATATATTAACTAATAACTTTATATAACAACCTCAGATATCACTGAATCTGAAAATTCACAAAAACGAGTTGAAAGCTCCAAATTGATGATACTAGAACCTCAAATTTCATGAAATTAGTGGATTAGGCCTGAACATGCCAAACAATATTTAGACTGCGCCAAACAGTCCAGCGCATTATATAGAATGTGCCAATAGCTATGGTGCATTCTACAATGCACGAAGCATGTTGGCACATTGCTCTCATTCGCCAATATATTTGGCATTTTCTGACTGCGCCAAACACAATGGAGAATATGCTCTTTCTAATATATTCCTTTGTTCATGCTCCTCCTGTTAAATTAGCCAGCTAACCTGGTCCTTTTAAAAATTTTTGCCACCCTTCATAAATTTTAAATGTGAAGTTCTTTTTAAAAATTTCAACAATTTATCCAAGATTATTTGAACATTTAGTGGGTTTGGGGTTTCAAGAGGTTGGCTTTTAAAGAGAGGTGTATCAATGCCACTACCATTTAGCCAAATACTATTACTAGTATGAAATCTTCATATTACTGAACAATTGCAAGCAAAGTTAATATCAGACAAGGCAGGAATACTCAAACCACAAAATTTTAAAGGTTTGCAAATATCTTTCCAAGAAATGAACCTCAACTTTTTGCTGATATGTCACCATAAAAGAAAAACCTTGCACAAAGTTCTCAAGATGTTCATAAGAGCTTTTTAGTATAATAGAACCCCAAATCTAAGAGGCTATCAAGTTCCAAATAGTAAATATAATAAATTATAATCTTCTTGCAAAAGATAAAGCTTTAGCTTTCCAATCATCTAGAAAAAGAGAACATTTTTTATAAGAAGTTGAAAGTCATATATTAGCATTCTTCTAGTTGCAATGGGAATGCCTAACTATGGAAATCCCATAATGTCATTTCGAAGGTTTAATGTTACTTCTAGGGTATCCACATTAAGAGTGAATCTAGAACAAATGAAAGAGCTTTTAGTGATGCAAATGGAGAGCCCAAAAATATTTTTAAAATGATTCATTAAGGTATTAAGATGCTGCAAATTTTGAATATTAGCTTTTTCCAAAAACTAGTAAATCATTAGTATGTAGTAAGTTGGTGTGATGCACTTTATTCATATTAAAAAACCATCATATATTCTCCCTAAGAAATATCATTTTAATAGGTTAGAAAATCCATCCATTACAATGAAAAAAAAAGGGATAAGGTATAACCTTGCCGAAGTTCTAAAGAAGAATTAAAGAAACCTTCAAGGGCGCCATTAACACAAAGAGTAGTGGACATTATGAATACAAGCCTTAATCTAGCCAATGAAAACATCAAGGAATCCCTTCTGTTTATGACGAAGCAATAATTAGTCTCTATACAATAGAGTCGATGGCCTTGTAAATATCTAGTTTATGATAGAATAAATTATTTTTCCTAGTCAAGTGAAAGTTAAAATGATTTTTCCTGGTCAAGTGAAAGTTAGAGAGAATCTCTTTAGCAAGAATAACATTATTACAAGACTTTCTATTAGATATGAAACAACTTGAGTAGGATGAATGCAATAAGGCATGATAGATTTAATCATAATAGCAAGAAGCTTTATTATAGTTAAAAAAAAAACATTGCAAAGAGACATAAGTTTATAATATAAAATCCTCCCAGCATATTGAGACTTTGGTAACTAATGCAATCCCAATAACTTTAACCTTTTAGGAAGATAATTTTTCCTAATGAAGTGTTTGAAAGCTTTGAAAAATTGATTACCAATAATATCTCAATTAGATTAATAAAAGCCAAAAGTGAATCTATGAGGACTAGGAGTTGAGCAAGCATTAAAGGAGAAATTCAATTGTTTAATTTCACTATCCATAATGGGAGCAATGAGATTTGACAAAAGAGAGGGAGGACTGATCGAGTAAACAAGTGGGATAAAAATACAATTTAATTGAGGAGTGGCAATATTAAAGAGTTTCCTGAAGTGGTGGATGCCAGCCCAAACAATATTGGAAGGAGTATGAAAGGAGCCTTCATCTATAGTGATTTGTCTGATGAGATTTAGGTTTATTTGCCCTTTAATTTTTCCATGCAAAAAAATAAGATCCTCTTCAACCTTGCTAAGCTAATTTTTCCCCCTATGCATAATCTTGGAAGACCATATAAAATAAGAAGAAGATAGGGTTCAACAATGAATTTAGCTTCATTATTTAATGACAAGTTCAAAAGATCCCTATTTAAGCACTCTAACCAAGATGCTTGTAATTATTGAAGCACTTGAGACTTTTTGGAAACAAGAATAGTAGAGTTACAATCTTTGGCTTTGATTACCTCCTTCATCTTTTTCAATCTAAAATAAAGGGTGTATATAGGACCACTTTTAATTGGGACAAGGAGGAGATTACAAATAACCTCAAAGACTTATGGCATTTTTGTTCAATAAAATTTTAATAAGAATATGTGTTGCACCATAACAATTGTATTTAGTGTGAACAATAAAAGGTGAATAGTCATAACATATTGGATTTTTAACTTTATAGAAAGAGGTAGGAAATAGATCTAGCCAATCATAATTAATAACTACTCTATTAAGCTTTATATGATTGGGATAATTAACTCTGTTGCCAGATGAAGTGAAAAAAGACCAATAGAGGTTAGCTCATTTAAAGCATGGTTAAAATCATACTATTGATCTCTCTGAATTTATCATCAGGAGTAATATTACCTCTCCTCTTTTCTTTATGGTGCCATTAATCATTTAAGTCTCCAAAAACAATCCAATGTTGTTTACAATGTGAAACATTAACCCCAATATCCTTAGAACTTTCCATAATTGTCTCCTAAAAAAAGAGTAGCAACATAAATAAAAAATAGCTTGCAGATTCAGAAGCTTGACCAAGCCATAAATAATTTGATTGTTAACTTTCAGAATGATTCCTACTGAACAGTGCAACTTAAAATTGAATTAAAATTTGTAATATTTTCATTACATGAAAAAAATGGTGTTTGAATATATTATTTTGGTGGAGATATGTTAAATGTAGGTAAT